AAACATAAGCTGTTGAAGTTCACTTACAGTCACAGAACTTATTTCTCGGGGATGCAAGGCCATGGTTAAAGTTTTCTGTTAAATAAAAGAACCGAAAAAAATGAATCAAACAGAATAGCTGGAAGCAGGATAATAATCTAATTCTGTTAAATAAAAGAACCCCAACAAAAAAATGAATAAAATAGAATAGCTGGAAGCAGGATAATAATCTAATTAACTCACATTCAAGAATATGGTACACGGTTTTTAAGCACAACACATGCGGAGTAAAAAAACTACCTTCCACCAGCACGCCAGGGTTGGCACTGCGGGAACGACAGTGCTCTCTCTCCCTAGCAGCCTCGAGTGCAGCTTCCTATGTGCGCATGTGCACAACAGACAACAGACAACAGTCAACAAACACCTCGCCGCTGGAACTGTGAAGCGCACAGTTTCATAGAAAGATTTGGCTACTGACATTAAGCTTAAAGATTATATATTGTATTGTACAAGTATAAAGAAAGAATTAAAGAAAAAAGGACTCATTATATAAATGTTATCGATAATATCAAGTGGAAATTGGGGGTGCTGCAGTTCCACAGTGCCTATACGCGGGCTGCCCCTGGTCATAATTTTACCCTGCATTCTGGTGATGAAACAGCAACATATACTTAGTTTTCTCTATGTTTACTTCTAGACCAGCCTCTTTACTAGCATCAATCAAAGTTATTTTTTCTTTACAGTATCTATATTATCACCCAGCAGCCTGACATCAACAGAATAGACCACCAGCTGATGTATCCAGATATTAATCTGCAATGACAGTAATATATAAAAGCAATGTAAAGACACCAATCAGCAAGGCTTTAATAATAAAACTGAAATCCTCTGCCCTTCTGATTATTTTACTGCAGTTGCTAAATTATTAAATCAGCCTGTGAAAGATATGTTTGTTAGTATCCTATCATCTACAGAACTGAAATATACAATTCTCTAAGCACAAATTAACATGAATTTTATTTCCCAGAGTGAACACTGTGTGGGGTGTACTTACACAAAATGTTAACATTATGTAAACACTTCAATTTTAGAAAGTGAAATGCATTACAAACACAATGATTTAAATGAGAACACATTATCAGCCTTTAGAGAATGTTGGGCATTACAGTCACAACCTAGATAGTATTTTAATTCATGACATGCCAATTTGGCAGCAGTTCAGACACACGGATTGAAGAATGATTGGTGATATTATAAAGGATAGTCTCTCCACTGGCCAAAATGGCACCCCATACACCAAAGGTACCATAGTCGATGATGGAATGATTGCAAGCTGCCATAATAGCAAGATCTTGACCTGGACTGGTGACTCCACCTTTACTCACCACAAAGACATCGCTCTGGCCCTTCAAGAGGTTCTGCCGACACCAACCAGGATCATCACTCACAACCAGAAATGCCACATTACCTCCGAATTTCTTGCGGAAGTAGTTCATGGCCTCAATAAAAAAGTCCTCATGTGCTAGAAACATTTTGTGTGTTCGCCATAAATAATCACGATAGTCAGTCCTCCTAACATGAATACCAACATAAACTAAGGCAGTGCTGTTCAATAGTTGGTTTGCACTTTCCAGAACCTTCCGGCTTGCCTCAACTAATCGCCGTTTGAACCGAAACTCATGCCGGATATCATCAACCCAAGTAAGGACCAATTCTGGCAGAACTGCAAAGCGTGGTAAGAGTATGCTCTGGTTTGTGTAACTCCAAAATTCTGGGGTCGTGATGACGCTGTCCCACTTGGCAGGGCAGTGTGACACATAGCCCAGTGGAGGGATGTTTAGGTCCTCAAAAACTTCATCAAGCACCTTACGTATACAGCGTGGGACATAAGGCTCTAACCCAGTCCTACGGGCCACTGCCCATGTCGAGGCATATTCCCACATTTGATTTCCTAAACGTCCACCCTGTGCAACGGTTACTATCCCATCCTTTGGGCAATGATGCTTCCAATACAGAGGAATTCTAACTGGCTTTAAGTTTGTGGTGCACAAAGACTGCTCAAAATCTCCTAGAAATTTCATTTCTTTTTTCTTTGGCATTGTATCATACAATGGAAACAAGAACACGTGAACAAACACCATGATACAAGTAGCAAGAAATATGGAAAGTACAAGTAAGTTCTGGTGTGGTCTTACCATGCCGTGCAAAACCTCATATTGCCTTCTGTACACAGGCAAAACCAGTGAGCATTTTACACACCAAATGAATGATCGACCATTATACATAAAACATACTGTCACATTCTTGAAATTTTACCAAATATTACAACAACAGACTATCATTTGTATGTTGTAATTAGATATAACCAGGTTCAACTTAGCTGATCCAGTACACAATTTAATTTATACGGAATACACAACATGAAATAGGTACCACATGTGCACAATGTAAAACGGTAGGCCTTCAAATATTTTATAATTACAAAATGATATTGTATAAAAGAATAAATGCGAAGGTCTCAAAATATTACGATGACCCGTTGCCACTTATGTTTCTACATGATAGAAGAACCGCTATTATCGTCGAAACGGATCAGTTTCCCGTTACCGTATCACTCGGGAATAGGTACATGACATATGCACACTGAACTCCATATTTTTCTTCAAGGAATATGAATTTCTAGCTGACACTTCAAACTTATAATTCTCCTTCATTATCCTGGGATATGCTCAGAATTGATTCATGACAAAACACGATTACTTTATTACATTACCGTTATAATCTCATATGTCTTTTTTATTACTTTCCTGCTCATATACGCGTATCATCCCAAACCCTAACTCAGATATTCAGACCATTTAGACCACTGATGCAAATTCGGCTCGAGAAGTGAGAGAACTCGACGCACTAGACAGCTATCGAAAGCAATGTTCCGCTCATTTCGGGCGTGTCGCTGACGTTCGAGCAAACCGCGCGAAGGGATTCGTGCCCAGTAACAATTACCAAGTTTCTGTTTAGCAAGACGGTATTATACAGTACCATATCATGAACTGCTACCGTAGTGATGTCTGAGAAAGATCAAAACCGTCGTCGGCTAATAACGTGTAAAAGAAGCCAGAGTATAAGACCACATGCGTATTTACTATGATACGATTACAACCTTGTGCTAAGAGGCAAAAATCGTTGTAAAGTTTGTGGACTTGATCTGGACCGGCGTTTTTCTCCTTCATTTACCGTTTAGAAAAAATAATAAATCATTTCATTAGTAACCATCACAGTTTTAACCCGTTCTAAATTTATAGTGTGGATGCATGCGCGCGCGAGCATGTGTGTGGGAGAAGGGAGAGTTAAAACTGTGATTAAAATACTTCGAATGTGAGGTTCTCACAGCAGTGACAAATGACACAAATCTCTGCCGGTGACTATGAAGGGTACAAAATTATTGGATGTAGCGACGTACAGTCAGGCAGAAATACACAAACGTTTCATAGGAACGTACTGACTCCATCTTCAGGGTTGAAGAGTGAGCTCAGCAAGAAACCAAAAATAAGCAGGCAGCAAGCAGCGCCATACGTTCCTCCGAAACATGGGTGGATTTATACCTGATTATGTGGCTTTACGTACAGAAGACTGGTCTCAAAGTAGTTTGAAGGGATCCGGACTGGCGCGTTATCTGCGCATGCAAAGAAAGTTAACCACTCGGACATCACCAATGATGTTCAAACACTGTCAGATAGGGGTGGATGGTCGGACATACTCCATGACCGCACTATTGGGACAGTTAGTTTCAGTTGCTGCCTATTAAGTTGCAGTAGTGATCATTGATCTATAGATAATTCGGTTATCTATATAGAAAGATATTAAAGAGTTTAACGTTATAAAACTTTATTAACACTAATAATACAGTATACGCAAGGTTACTACAGTTATTACGAGTGCACCGTGCATTAGAACTCTGGTCACTCTGGTGTCGTCACTTGCAGACTGACTGACACCGTGCTTCTGTCGTGCGACCTATGCGCTACCCTGCGGCCGGCGCAGGAAGTACGGTCGAAGCGGCCTCAGGTTGCTCGAACAGTTTCAGATTACTCGTAGATCGATATTTGACGTCACACTACTCGAACTGCATTCGAGAGCGGTTCAAGGGAGGCTAAATAGTCTGTACTTGTGACACAGATGGCAGGGTACGTATTCATCACTACTGTATCGGAGAATGTCTCATTTGTTAATAAGATCTGATTGTTCGTTGATGCTGGTACATTAATACAATGGTTGATTTTTGGACATTAACCATTAAGAAGACGGGTAATATAAAATACTGTCACTTGTTAGTGACTAGACAAGGGGTTTGGATTGGTAAAGGCACTAACGGGATTTATTGGATATTTATAACTCGTAAGTACAAGTAATTGCCGGTCACGGTAGCCGAGTGGTCTAAGGCATGTACTGTCTTCGCTCGCTTGGAAACCGGGATCGTGGGTTCGAATCCCACTCAGGGCATGGATGTTTAGTTTGTGTGTGTGCGTTTTTCTGTGTTTGTATACAGGTAGAGGCCTTACGACGGGCTGATCACCCGCCCAAGGAGTCCTACCGAATGTGTAAGATCTAGAAACACCGAAGTGAACGGAGAAGTTTATGGAGGTAGACCTAGGCCCACTGGGGCTGTAGTGCCAAGGAAAAATAACTACAAGTAATTATGACGCAAAGCTAATCTGCGCACTATACAATTCTCTGTGACATACATTAATTCTTCTCGCTTCGTTTCCACTAGCTGTTGCTAGGTTATGGCTCAGCTTCCGTGTTCATCGGCTCCTGTCCTCGCTGGCTGGCGAATCCCACAGCTAACCCATGGCGGCTACTCCCACATTCTCGAATAAGAGCCAAGTCAGAGTCAAAATTTTGTTAGACCAATTGTCAGTAGGCCAATCAGTCTCAGTGTCAAGCCACATCTGGGGCCCAAGATCGGATTTTTGTTAGTGTCAGTTGTGGCTTATTAATTTACAGTGGGAAAGACGAAAGCAAAAGAGGTTAACTATGAATTGTTCATTAAGAAAAGAGAGGTCTTCATTTAGGTCTACTGTTTTCCAGTTAGAATCAATACTTCACTGCAACATGACTGATAAAAACTCATTAGAATGCCATGAAATTTCAATTTTTCCTACCGGAAGAGAATGAACAAATATAACTTCAAAATATTTTAAGTGATTTTATATGGCATGTAACAGGCAATTTCTTCTTAAGGAGATAAATACACCGAGCAAACAAACAACAAACTCCGTGGCCTGTATTCCGCAGGCGAACTATACCGACCGAGGGACCGCCGTTTGTCGGCGAAGTTAGTGCCATCTTTTAGCGGATAGAGAGGATGTCACGTGGTCAGCGCAGCGAATCCTCACAGTCGTTAATCTCGATTTTCTAGACCGGAGCTGCAATTTCCTTAAAATATCTCTTCAAATTTCATCACGAGGGTGAATGGAGCCCGTTCCAGACCCACTACTTCTCAGAAAATCTGGTAGCGTCGAGAATCGAACCCGGGAGCTCTGATCTGTAGCCAGGAACTCTAACCACTAGACCACAGAGGCGGTCGAATAATAGAATGAATAGTGAATAATGAATTGGAAGGGATGTGGAAAGAAGTGGTATTGATAATTCATTGGAAGTAACATTCCATCATTTGTCTGAAGGAACAGAAACCAACACAACCAGCAGGACAATCAATATCCGGATAAAATTTGTATTCGAGGCCTTCACGATTCGAAGAAGAATTTCTAGACACTGAACCTGATGTCCGGGGTGCTCATTAAGTGATTCAGAAATGACTGATGAATTGAAAGCGGAAACGCGTGAACTCAAAAAAACAATTCGCATATATACGTATTACCAATGTGTTTTTCAGAATATGACATTTGGGAGGCCGGTTTTTCGGTATGGATTCATCCTATATTTTCTCAGTTTCTCCTCTATAGGACAGCACCTTTTATTAAGTCAGGCTCGCTTCTTTCCATGTCCTTTCCAACTCTAGCCGTTTCTTGCTGAGAGCTACACTTTGAGTTAAAATGTGAGCTAACTAGCACACCATCTGCTCCTCTACTTCCCACCACTAGTGATAACGCCAAAAGACTAGAGGAAATTTTATTTTCTTACCTGGTAGGTTCCGTGCACTAAACTACCCATTCTACTCATATCTGTTCATTGTAGAAAAACGTGAATGAAGCCATGTGTGCAAGATGTGATGTGCAATCCACTGTTTAACGAAACTATTTTTGCATTACCATTTGTCGATGTAGAAACACCAAGGCCATGCAGCATACGAGGAGTTGGACTGAGCACAGAAAATCGATTTAACATTGAAATGTCACTGGCGATGATTCAAGAAGCCTGTTATTACTTCCCCCCGCTGCAAATACTTTAGTGATAAAATATAACTCTCTGGGAGAGGCAACCGCCTGGAGCGAGGAGACCTTTTGTACCTCCCATGGGCAAAGAGCAGTGGCGGCAGAGCCAGTGGTTGCCGTCTTCTTCTTGAACATAATAATGATTAAAACGTTGAATTACGATTATAGCATGCATGGAATGCTGTTCAAGCATTTGGCACTGGGTTTCTAACCGACCGACCGACCGACCGACCAACCGACCAACCAACCAACCAACCAATCAGTCAAACAACTAACTAACAAAGGAACGAAAGAACGAACGAACAAATGAAAGAACCAACAAGCCAACAATCAAAGCAAAAAGAAACTAATTAACCGACAAATTATTAACCAACAAACTAGCCAGGAAACCAGTTAATTAACCAACCAATCAACTAAACAACCAACCAAATAATGGGGAACTAACTAACTAGCTGGTCCGCGACATAGCTCAAGCGGTTAGTCGCTGGCTTCCCACCGCGGCGGCCCGGGTTCGATTCCGGGAGAGATATATGTCGTATTGGGGAATAAGTTTCTATGCCTGTGTCAAAGAAATCTGAAGCCTGTGAGCTCTCCCAAGTTTTGACACCTTTCATCAACTCATCATTATTGTTGAAGCTCTGTGATCCCAGCCAGCTCTTCAGGTCGGTAAACTGATGGTAGTCGTTCGGAGCGAGATCAGGGCGGTAAGGAGGTTGGTCAAGCAACTCCCAGTTCAAATGCTCTAGTAGTACTTCGAGTGTTAGCAGCTGTATGCGGGCGCGCGTTATCACGGACTAGCATTACAAACACACTGGATGTCAGCATTCCACGCATTTTGTTCTGAACGGTCCTACGCAGTTTTTCTCCAGTGTTTCGCAATACACTTATGACGTTATTGTGGTCCACAGTTGCATGAATTCCACCATCAGCATACTTCCATTTCCGGGAAAGAGATGCCATCAGTTTTCTGACAGGCAGACAACTTTGGCTTAAACGTTTTCGCCTTGTTTTGAAAATGTGTGTGCATCTACTGTTTTGGCTGTTCTTTGGTTTCAACATTCACAAATGAAACTAAGATTTTATCGCCTGTTATTCGTACGATGTGATTGAGAAATTCATCACCATCTTTGTGGTATCGCCCTAAAAATCAAAGGCGCACGCGTGAGAATTTTCGGAACCTATTTGTGATAATCTCTCAGAGAGAGCAATGCGTGAAATGTGTGAAATTCAGACGAAAGTTCTGAAATTATGAAGCGCCGTCTTTTACATATTTTTTGGTCAACACTAACGACAGATGGCGAACCACTTAGCTCTTTGTTCGCTGATCTTTGAATATGGTACACCACTGTCTTAGAGTTTCCTCACTCATTATATTCTACATAATTCACGATTGATTTCAGTAGCACTCATGCATTTAGAATGAAGAAAGCGGATAATATTGGGAATTTCACAGCTGGCGGGTTTATCAATTGCGGAACACATTATAACCCATTCTGTAGAGAC